TGAAAAAACTCAAAAACAACCACGTGAACTCCATCAACAATCGCGAGCAATCATGACCAGCCACCATGGCCAATTTTCATCTCCTTCCTTGTGATTCAACCACAGTGAAACATATAATCCCAAATGCGAGCTCCTGATCCACAATTCTCCTCCTTCGAAACCTGCAAGAAATCGAAGAGACTTAAAGAAACCCAAATCGAGCCTCATCTATAGCCACCGAGAACCTGCGAAAATCAAATTCCAAATGAACACTAATCAGTAGGATAGAAAACCTAAAGATTACAAATTGTCCTAGCTGGTTAAAATTCAAAACATGAACAAAGAAAGGGCATCAAATGCCATTAAGTATGTGCTTTACCAGACACACAATTTGTTCAATTAAATAAGGATTTGAAATCATCATAAGTAGCTCAACAACTAGCAAAGATTTCAAATTTAAAAAAGACTGCATATTCAGAGCAATATAATCATCATTCATAAATGGAACACTTGTATCAAATTAAATTAAGGGTTAAATATGTTTTTAGTCCCTAAATTATTGGTCGTTTCTGGTTTTCGTCCCTCTTTCAAAGTAAGGTACAATTTGGTCCTCATTCTTTTTGAAACGTTCGTTTTAGTCCTCGGAATTTTGGTTTTAGTCCTCATTTGTTGCTAAATGAGGACCAAATTTTTAAACAGTGTTTAGTTTTCAAGGACTAAAACGAACATTTCGAAAAGAATGAGGACCAAATTGTACCTTACTTTGAAACAGGGACGAAAACCAGAAATGGCCAATAGTTTAGGGACTAAAAACATATTTAACCCTTAAATTAATTAACAATTTATCCTCTAGTTTTCAACAAATTAATGTAAAGTAGACCTATATGACCTGACAATCTTTTAGATTTGGAACTGATCCACATCATCTCTATGGCAGTAGAGAATCCAGAGATATTACAACACTAGCAAACATTAGCGTCGTAAGTAGTGATTTTTTGTAGAACTGATTTATGAGAAAAAGGGGAAGATTGAAGTCAAAGAGAAAAAAATAAAATTCTCTGTTAAAAGAAAGCAACAATATGTGGTTGGTCACTAACATTCTGTTTGAACCATCGATGGAAGAAGACACTAACACTTCTCTAGAAACCGTACCGTAGGACCCAATTGCAATAGGATTGAGGTAAGTGTTGGGATAAACTTAAATTTTAGGGTTTTATTAATATTTTTTGTTTAAATATTATTTTATTAGTTTTGGGAATTGATTTTGATAGAGATAAAATAGATATAGGTAGTTTTGATTTTCCATTTATTTAAGAGAGTATTATTTTATTTTATTGATATAAGATAGAGATAGATTAAGTAGATTTTATTTTGAGTCTGTTGATATTTTATTGTCACTTTTTATTATTTGTACTTGGCCCAAGACCTATTTGCACCTATTTAAAGGTTGTCAAAGTTCAATGTAAAGTAACTTCAGTGAATTGAACAGTATTATCATTTGTGTGGGTCACCTTTTTGTTAACAGTTGTATCAGAGCTTCATGCTCTGAGTACCGAGAAAGAGAAAAACAGAGAGAGGAAAGAGTCAAACACCGTGAGAGAAAAAGTGAGTGCTTGATTTTTTTTTAGAGAGATGACAAAGGTTGTCAATGGTATAAGTGTGCCACAATTGACGAGAAAAACCAATTATGATAATTGGTGCCTACAGATGAAGGCGTTATTAAGATCCCAAGACGTTTGGGATATGGTGGAAGACGGGTACGTTGAACCTAATGAGGATGAACATCAGACGGTGGCACAGATGGCAATGTTGAAGAAATCACGTCCAAGAGATGGGTCAGCATTGTATTTTCTGTACAATGTAGTAGATGAGTCAGGATTTGAAAAAATAGCAAATGCTAAATCAGCAAAGGAAGCCTAGGAGATATTGAAGGTTGCGTATAAAGGTGACAACCGCGTTAGACAAGTCCGAGTACAAGCTCTCAAAGGAGAGTTTGAACAGTTGAAGATGGAGTCCAAATAGCATATAACCGAGTACATAACTCGGGTGGAGAAGGTGGCCAACCAACTCGGTAGGAATGGAGAACAAATGCCATCTAGCCGGGTTGTGGGAAAAATTTTGAGATCTCTTACAAAAGATTTCGAAAGTATCGTGTGCGCCATCGAAGAATCGAAGGACTTGTCGGTTCTCACAGTGGATGAACTTGTTGGGTCATTAGAAACCCACGAACAAAGGAGAAGGAGTAGGGTTGATCAGGTTGAACCCGATGATCAAGCACTACAAGTACAGTTTGACTCGAATAAAACTCTTATTACTCAGAGTCGAGGTCTTGGGGGCAGAGGGCGAGGAAGCCGAGGACGAGGTGGACGTGGCCGATGTAATTTTGAGAATGATGAACAGCAAACCAATTGGCGTGACCGAGGACAAGGAAAATGTCGAGGAGATTGGTCAATAGTGGAGTGTTTTAAGTGTGGCAAGTACGGTCACTATGCAAACGAGTGTAGATCAAGCAAGTGCTATAATTGTGACAAGGTTGGCCATATTGCAAAGTATTGCAAGACTGAGACAAAGGGGGAGACGAATCTCGTTACTAAAGATGTAGAAGATCTATTGCTGGTAAAGAGCTTGCATGCAGTGGACATGGAGAGCACAATCTCAATAATGGATGAAATGATCTCGGTAAAGGATGCAACAATTGTGGAGAAGGAAAACCTGGAGAAAGAACTCAAACAAAAAGATGAAGAGATTCAGCGGATATGGAAGCTTCTAGAGGAAGCTAAGAAAATTATGAATAAACAGAGGGTTGAGCTTGAGGAGCTGAAGAAGGCTACTCTTGAAAAAGAAGAGAAAGCATCCAGTGTTCTTGAACCAGACGAAGAGGAAGATGAAGATGTTGAGAAGAACCCGATGAAGAATTCGGCAAAAATTGTTGAGAAGTCACCTAAGGTTAGAAACGAGTTGGTCGAAACTATTGAGAATACGTGCATAACAAAGTTGATCAAAGCATCAATGAGGTCAACCAAGGTAAAAGACAGGAGGGCCATAAGAAAAAAGAAGAAGTCAAATCTGATTGAAAGAAGCAAACCCGGTGTGAGATGATGCACATGGAAAGTCGACTGAAGGAAAGAAGAATTTAAGTTTATGGGGGAATTTGTTGGGATAAACTTAAATTTTAGAGTTTTATTAATAATTTTGTTTAAATATTATTTTATCAGTTTTGGATTTAATAATATTTAAGATAAAATAGATATAGGTAGCTTTAATTTTTCTTTTATTTAAAAAGATATTATTTTATTTTATTGATATAAGATAGAGATAAATTAAGTAAATTTTATCAAAACTTTTGATAATTCACCATCACCTATATATTGAATGTAGCAAAGATGTCATAATTGAAGCAGCCAGAGCTGGGTCGGTGACTCACCAGTGAATGAGGAAGGGAGAGAAGCCTCTCACGAGAAGAGATCAAGGATGGTTGACACATTTTAAAAAAAGAAAAGGTGACGTGAGATATCATTAGTCACCTAAAAAAATAATATTATTTATTATAGAAGACTAAATCCAAAACCTTTTAAAAGAAAATAAATAAAAATTGATCAAAGTTTCAAAAAACAATAAAACCAAAATCGTGTTATTAAAATGATAAGCCTAAACTTTGATTAAAATAGATTTTTAATGATTCTAACATTACTATATTAAGCTTGATATTATATTTTAAAATGACTTTGAACTTAATTATTTTTATAAAATTGATTTGGAACAAATCAAATTTATTCTTATTTATGATATAAATTTGATCTTTTTCTTTAATAAATCTAAATTTGCATAGGATGTATTAGTCTTGAGGTCTTATTCCGTGCGTAATTAGTATAAAACGTGGAAATTTTGTAACATTAGGAAAAGCATAATCAAAGTGTGACTTTGTGAGTAAGAATAACACTTTTTGGGTTTTCTTTTCGGTTAAGAATGCATCATTGCATCAAGAAATTGAAGGATTCACTGCATCAAAGCAATTTATTATTATTAATTGAAATTCAGACGCCAAACTCTACTGTGTCTCAACATTTTCTACACCAAAAATAAATTATAAAATAAAAATAAAAGTTAAATATATTTATAATTCTGAATATAAAATTAAAATTTATTTTTATTTTAAATTATAGTATATTTTAGCCTTCAAAATTTAAAATTAAATATGTATAGCCTTTGTAATTTAATGATATTACTCTTTACTTTTACGTGTTAAAGTATATTCTAAACGTTATTTGAGCATAAAGAAATTTAATTCAATTAGATTAAAAAATTATATTTTTTTCTTTTTAAAATTTTGAAAACTAAACTGTATTAAAGTTTAAAACAAAAATAAATTTTAATTTCATATCAAAATTTAAAGATAAATATATTTAATATTAAAAATAACATAATTTGTTATTGAAAAGTAAAATTGTAATATATATTAGTTTACAGGATTGGGGAAAAAAAGTTGTGAAAAGGTGTGGTGGCAACAATGGAAGAATGTTTAGAATGTAGTATTAAAATGTATTGTGTCCTGAGAAAGGCAGAGAATAGTACTAAAAGAAAGCATTTAGAGAGAGAATAATGTATAATGCATAATAAAGCATGCGATTGTGAAAAGTCAATTTGTTTGTGCTGTGCTGTCACAGTTGGCCCTTCTTTAAGAACATGCCTTCTCACTCTTGTTAACTCAATTAACAATACTCTCATTACTTCTTCCACTTCCATTTAATTTATCACTTTCATTTATTCCATACAAAGTACTACTTATGCAGGCATATCATATCTCTCACTCTAGCAAAGATAGACACAAAAAACCCTTTTTTCCTTATGACGATAAGTTTGCAAAAACCAAAATTTTGCAGCAAAATCAATCATCATCACAACACAAAGCAAACATCAAATAATGTTTTTGAAATAACCCCTGTACATATAAACCAGAAAAAAAAATCTCTATAACTAAATATATATACACATATAGTATTAATCTATCATCTCAAATATATATTTAAACAGGTATGTTATAATTTTTCCATAATAAAAATGTGGATTCTTTGGCATATGCCACCTTCTTTGGCATATGCCACCTTCTTTGGCATAGAATGGAGTTTATCATTGGTAGAAGACCTTGATGATGTATGCAAAACAGCTTGCTGTGAAGATTCGTTGATGGAGGTTTTTGTGGTGTCTTCATTTTCTCCTTCCTCACGGTACATAGTCATCTTAGTGTCAAATTGTGATGAGTCAGTTGACAAATCAGTATTCATATTATCTACATGACAGATCTTCTTTGGCAGCAACAGCTTCCACTCCCTCAAGCTGATCATCTACACAACACAATTTACTAAACCTTGGTTAAAACAAAGGTACCAACCATAACAATCTCTTTGCCTGTATGCCAACATAAATTTACGTACAATGACTTTCCCTCGTACCTTCACATAGAGAAGAGCTTTTTGAAACAAGGGAACATTAAATTTTTCGGACATACAATGGAGATACCACCAAACAAAGGGGAGAGAAAAGTAATTATTTTATTTGTGATTTGTATACAATTTCATGCATGTAATCACTTGCAGAAACTATCAACAATTGAGATGCCATTTTGTTAGCCCAATAGAAAGAAATCTACAGAGTATACGAAAACGAGCAAAGATGACAAGATCAATTCAACATCAATAGTCTTATTCTAGTAGGTAAGTTTGGTCACATTGACCGGGCAATGTAATTGGGTTTGGCTAAAAACTAAGTCCTCCATTATATTATTCATCATGACATCCCTTTTAAAAATTTCTGCTAATATTCATCTATGGTGACATGATCAATTCAATCAAATTAATTAGTATTGTCATTTAATAGCACTCGCATGACTGAGACCCAACGATGACAATAATAACTAAATAAACAGAATATTGGCTCACAATTATTATGAACGGAAAAAGAGAAGCTACAGAATATAAGTCATATCAACAAGCTACAGTTCATTGCTTGACTGCAGTAATATAGTAATATGAAAAGGAAAAAATTGTTTCAAACACCAGAAAGACATTCAATATAAAACAGTTAAACTGCCATGAACTGAACTAACACAATTAAATAGTAAAATAGACTTCGAGAATACGCAACAGCAGAAACAAGCACATCATGGTTCTTACCCCCGAGAAAATAATCAATACTATTATAAATTCACATTTGAAGTTTGGACAGAGGCATGTTCATTAGAGTCCTCGGCTTGACTTTCATTTTTCCTTTTATGCATCCTCTCGTGTAATATAAACTTTTCTGATTTCCAAACACAATCTAATGTAATAAAATCATCACCAAGAGGATAGAAATCTCTAAAAACCTGCATCAATAGGATATATCAATAAGGGAGAAGAAAATACATCAGCCTATCATTTTACATTCATATGTGGAAAACTTAGAGGAACAAACTAACCTCTATTCCATTAAGAGTTATTTTTGTTGACTGTTTGGTTATAGAGAGAGAAGAAACCATGTTGAACAATGAAACAACGTCAAGTAATATCTGTGCAAGGAGGATAAAAGAGGTTCAAGTCAATTTGATCAATAATGCTATATGATAAATGAATAATCATAGTGAGTATAATCTACGTTTTACAGTATCTAATATCAATCTAATAATATGTCTTTTACTTACCAGCTAATTAGAAAAAAAGTACCTCTGCATTATCTTACATTAGATAAATTGCAACTTAATAAATGATATAGCCAAGATTAAATACATAAACTTGGAAAACTTACTTGTTGAACCAAGACTCGAAGACGTGCAAGCAAAGCCATTATTGTAAGAGAAAATCCCATAAAAAAGGATTGCGCAAACAAGACCGATACCTCACTATTAAATAGTCAAGGAAAGAACTTCTATTTTGCAATTTTAACAAATTCTCATAAAATGATAAAAAGGAATACTAAAGGGCCTCTAGTTCTCTGACATTAATTGTGATAAAAACTTTCAAGGCTTTGTGTATTCTACTTCTCCAAAGTATAGAGCAGAATGATGATTCATGGATAAAATAAAAGACCAAAATCTCACATTAGATAACCATAACCAATCAAAATCAGAAAATCAGAAATGTAAAACTTCAAAATCAACATAATATGGGACTGTTGAAGGGAAGAGGAGATGAAATCAACACTGGCAAGTACGAATTAAGAAGTCCGTGTTTCAATGAAAATCTAGATCAACCAACAAACACAAAGTGGGAAAAATATCAGCATAAACAAAGAAACAAAAAGATAGAACACCAAAAAAAGTCCGGCATTAAGTTAGTGCATATAATCAATATATGCAAGTAAGCTCCTTATGTTTTACAAAATAGCATTGCGGTTAAACGGGGGAAAGATAATGAAAAAAGAATACCACAATCCTATTGAGGAGCATGTTATAAGAAATAAGAAAAAATATTAGCATCATGCCATGATCGTAGTATGGCCAATTTATTAAATTATGAGCATGAGCCAAGTATTAAAATACAAATCACAATATGACAGTAGCAGATGGATACGAAGCAGCCTTGAGTATTGGTTCAACCATCTGCATAAGAAAACAAAACATAAATTGAAATACGAGAGCAGGTTCCATAAATATAAGCAATCCCATTATGATGCATAGGGAAAATTATTTCAATTAGAATCATACAATTTGTATCAAATACTCATTATTATTATAGTGCATTGTATACATGGAAAGAGGACAGCTACTGAGCTGCGACAGTTTATATATATATATATATATATATTGATCTTAGGGTACTAAGTAAGGAAAACATTTAGAATTTAGAGCAACAATATTATTGATCAGCAATTTCACCTCAGCTAATAAGCGTGCAGCTCCTATCAATCGCTCCATAAAATTGTACTTTTCACCATCACATTTTCTCCTTTTTAAACTGTTAAGAACAGTATGTCAAACACTATCATCATCAACATGACAGGAGTTATAAATTATAATATCATCATATGTAAGAATACCGCTGCATGATCCATATTCACACATTTAATATGTGTACAGCACACAGATCTATATAATGGTTTAAAAATAGTCATTTCCTATTTTTATGAGATAATGTAAATGAGAATTTCAAAGTTTTCCATTTCTTTTTTCTTTGCCTTGCACACACTACACATAAGGAAAAGGCAAACAAAATTCAACATCTTAGAAACAAAGAATCCTCATAACAAAGTGCTAAGCACCAGAGACTAATTGCCTGATATATCGTCACAATATAAATATAAATACAACATATTTTAAACATCCAATCATACTTCCTTGCCATTAGCACAATTGTATAGCTAAATTAATTCTTTGAACATGATTTGGGAAACTCCAAGAAAAATAATTGTTAGTAATAATATAGAGCTACCTTTCTAAAAGAATAACTTTCTGCCTTGGTTTATCTCCTTTGATAACAAGGATGCATGATGTTACAAGTTCCTCCAAGTTTGCTGATTGCAGGAGTCTTAAATCCCTTCTTACCTACAAATTTCAATACAGAACAAATAAAACCCCAAGAGATGTAAATACAATTTTCCTCAAAAATGCAATCGATTTTAAAAATTGTATATTACAAAGAAAAAAACGCTTTCATGATATTTGTGAAACATTATGCAATTACATATTGAATGTTGACTGTGCAGAAACTGTAAAGCATAACATGCAATGAACCTTCAAAAGACGCTGGAAATAGGAAGAGCGTCGGTGCTGGTTCTTATTTTTGTACACTATTCTCTGTACAATGCCACACTCAGATTGGAGTTGGGGAAGCATAGATGTTATTCTAGCCTCAATTGTTTCAAATTTGGTATCCATTGAGTCCCTGCCAAGCAGCAATCAGACTGTCATCTTCAAAAGCAATACCAACTAATTCTAAATTATTCAAAAACAAAGTTCCACACTTCTAAGGATAATGGAGAAGGAAGTACAACAAACGAGCTAATAATCCATTTTCATAACCACTATTTAGACAATTCAACTTTATTAAAATGAGGATGCTGAGATCTTTATATTCTACTATTGAATTGGTTTCATTATGTGATAGAAGGAATCTTGTCGTTTATGACTTTTGTCCACATGATCCAATCATTTCAATTATGTTAAGAAGTGACTTTAAGCCTAACTCAACCTCACAAAATCGGCTTATAAGGTGAGTCCACTTATATACTCTAAATTGGTCTTATTTTTAGTTGATGTAAAACTTTCAACACACACCCCTCACACCGAGGTATATACATCTCGAGTGTGAGACTAGACATTAATGGGTGGTCCAATAGCAGCCCGATAACGGGTGGAACAATATGTCCAACAAACAACAGATATCGCTAGGATAGACTCTCACCTGACTTTGATACCATGTTAAGAAGTAGACTTTAAGTCTAACTCAACCTCACAAAATTGGCTTGTAAAGTGAAGTTTGCACTCAGTTATATATTCTAAATTGGCCTTTATTTCTAGTCAGTGTGCCAACAAATTCATATAAGGATAATGACTTGATAATTCAACATGATTACTATAAGAGGTGGAGTTCCAAGGGAATAACATGAACTTAACGAAGAAAGGTATAATCACAGAGGGATTTCACCGAAGAATAGTGATATAATTGAATTGGATGCTGCGGATTTGTTGGCTAAGTACACGCACTATTGCCAAGTTTTTGGCAAAGGGTTCAAGCGTGATGCGAATTTGAGGATGACATGAGGGCTCCTGGGGATGAGTACAAGACCAATGCTACATTGAGCAACCCAATTAAGAATAAGGGGAAGTTGGAAGGGGAAAGCGAGCTTTTGATGAGTGTGAAGCCAAAGAGATATTCTTGTCCTCAGGAAGGGTGTAGGTGGAACCAAAAGCACGCCAAGTTCCAGCCATTGAAGTCGATGATTTGTGCTAAGAATCATTACAAGAGAAGCCATTGCCCCAACCCATTGTCTCTAAAGCACGCCAAGTTCAGCCATCGTCTCAAAAACCTTAATCAACCACAATTATAAAACTAATCTCGTAAAATTCCAATAACCTAGGTTCCCTAATTTTTCGGAAGAGTAGGGAATGGAAAACAGAATTCAAACGACAGGCGAAACAATTAGGGATTGCAGAAGAAAAGAATTTACCGGTGAGGGACCAACGATGACGGAAGGGCACGTCGCACACTGGAGTGGAGAAGCGCAAATCCAGAAGTCGAGAACTAGAGTGGAGAAGAAAATCCTGAACGGTGAACACCAAGTGGAGAGAGATGGAAGATGGTGAAGAAGAAACGGAGGGAAGTTTGAATTTGAAACTTTATTTTTTACAATTATAGGCGGTTTTGGTATAAAATCGCCAGAAATGTAACCTAGAAAAAATTAACTGCGGTTTCTACTAAAATCCCCATAAATATATTTTTTAAAAAATCAAAACATAAACGTGGTTTTAGAAAAAATAGTTGGAAATTACTTTATCAAAACTCCGAAAATAAATCTTCATGATACATTATTTTATTTTGTAGTGTTGTAAATTTTTTAACTTATCTTGTACTCCATCCATACTTCTTTTACAAACCATTATAATAATAACAAATTTTATTTTAAATTATATTATAAATTTAAGGGTAGAAAAATTATCTACATATTTTAATAATGCATAAGTAACCACTATCTATTAGAGATTCACATACAATTTTTTTCCATAAATAAATCAAAATTACTTACAAATATCAATTATTACCTACAACTTTTATAGGTATAATTATAGGTATAATGTATAAGTGCATAATGCAGCATGCGATTGTGAAAAGCCAATTTCTTTATGAAGATGCCTTCTCACTCTTATCAACTCAATTAACAATTTTCTCATTACTTCTTCCACCTCCATTTAATTTATCACTTTCATTTATTCCATACAAAGTACTACTTTTACTTCTTTTTTTTAAGTGTGTTTAAATTTAAGTTAAAATACTTAAATTAAATTTTATTGAAATAATCAATGGCAAAGAGTATATTCAAAAGAGTACAAATTTTTTTCTTGGATTTTTTTTCATTTAAAATTTCAAATCACTGTTTCTAATTCATAATATTCATTTAAAATGGACGAATTATATTCAGTTCGTGAATATTAAATTAGATTTTAGATATCACACATTGACATTATATCATAGCACTAATATATGTCCCTTAAAATGACCATTTAGTATTTTGTTCAACATATTAAACACTAATTAGTATCATATAATAGTATTAATCTAAAGTAATGATTTTCAATTTTAAAAGCAAAAAATAAAATAAAATCAAAATAAAATATTAAAGCTTATTGACATAACTGACTTGAATGACTGGTTAAAGTGTAATGAATTGGATTGGTGGAAAAGATAATAGTTTTGGAAGAAAATAAAAAGAACTATAGTGGGGTAGGTGTTTGTGGTTGAATTTGTGAAACATGAAACCTTAAAGTACATGGTTGAAGTTATGGAATTAAAAGGGAAGTAGATAAAGAAGTTGAATTCTTAAGGATTAGGTAATAAAGGAGGAAGTTGAGTTCTTTTGTTATGGTCCACAATTTCACAGTTCTACACTTTTCCCAATGGCAAAAGTACTCTCACAATTCAAGGCCAAGAAAACAAAGAATTGTCACATCATAGTATCATAATTATTTTGAAGAACCACTTTGATAAATTAATTAATAATACAAATCATAATTAACTTTGAGATTTGTTTACCTGTAAATGATTCACATTTGTAATTATTGTTATAATTTCCCAATCATAGACTATGTGTTTATGATTTGATTGCAGCTGTAGTTTTTAAATGTTTAGCCACTCTTTAACTTTAATTACTCACTTAATCCGCCAATTATTTTAAATGTTCATCATCTCAAAACTTCATCTAATAATTGATAAAATTATAATAAAGGTGTTATCTATGATTTAATTTTTATAGATTTATAAAGGTGAATTAGACTACTGAGTTAAATAGTATAAATAATTTCTCTAAAAGTTTAATTATTTGATGGTCTTCATTTTGAAAACAATGTCAACTTGATTTCTTTTTTTTTTTTTAATTTCAATTTTGTTCTTAAATTTATTAATATATATCAATCAAATCCTTTTTTATTAATGTTGTTTAAACATATAAAGATTTTATGATGTGAACATTTGGACAGGTAAGAAAAATTAAAATACAAAAATCTTAAAAACTTCAACATAGTTTTACAAGACAGACATCCATACAGTTCGAATAAATGCATGGAATCTAAAAATAAGGCATCAATGATTCGAAAGTTTAAAAAAAAAAAGAATAATAGTTGTTCTCTTCAAGCCTACTTGCGATAAGAGTAATTTTTAAAATAATTAAATATAATTCAAAGTTGATTAGAACGATTTTCGTTTTAATCCTTTTAATTTAAAATTTAGGTTCACTGTCCAAATAATTCTAAAAAAGTTTTGTTAATTTATTTTTGCACTGTATGAAAAAAAAAACACAGACGTGATAAAAACATTGAAAGATAAAAATATAAACAAGTCGTTGTGTGAAAACTTACAATTCATCAAGTACATGACAATCTTCAACCGTGTTTAAAGGAAAAAAACTAAAACAATCTTTCACCAGATTATAAAAAGTGAAGAAATAAAAGAAAATTTGAATTTTGAAAATAGAAAACAGACTTATCACAGTTCTAGGAAGAATTTAGCAGAAAAGTTTTTCTACTAAGAAATTAAACATCTATTAAGAGAAAGAAGAAAGAAGGTACTATACTCTACCATCACGAAAAGGTCAACATTTTAAATGTAGAATTAAAAAAAAAAAGATGGACAAAACAAAGTAACAGTTATGAAATGGACCAAAACATTTTCCTATTTCCCTTCGCTCTTGCTATCTTATCTAAAGCCATTTGGTGTTCATCCAGGACCAAAACATGATCATTGAAAGTGAAACCTAAGCTACACAAACATGTACGTTTAAGATATTACAGCTATAGTACCCAATCATCGCAGGTTACAGTACAACCAAATTATGCTGCTCTTCTTCATCTATAAGTTGCTGTTTTCAGTCTTCCTTCTTGTCTGGTTCGTCCAGCGCTGCCAATCTTTCAACAAGGGGAGGATGAGAATAGTGATAAGCAGAGAACCAAGGATCTGTATTCATAGCTGACAGATTCTCCTCCTGAAAATGCAGCCACAAAAAAAGGACTTTAGTTCCATCATCAGCAACAAAACTACTTTTTACACATAATAAACATGAAGAACAGTAGTGAAAATTGAAAATACATCCACAACAAAAAACAAAAAAGAAAATTCTTTCGTAAGCTAATATTAACTTATGCTTGTCAACTTTTGGCCATGTTCAAATAAATTTCTCCATTAAAGCTTGTGAGAGAGAAACAATACAGAGGAAAAAATAAATAACTTTTTTCAGAAATTAATATTAGCTTATGCACAAGTTGATATTAGTGTTTGAAGAAGCTAATGAGAAAACTTTTACAAATTCATCCATGCATAAGTTAATTTAGTTTATGAAAGATGCTCAATCATTTTTACTTATTTCCTACTTTTATAAATGCTTTACCGTCTAAACAGGGTCTTTGCATAAGTTGATTTTAAGTTAAAGGAAAAGTTAAATTCAATTTAAGTACAAGTAGTTGTTCGAAAATTTATTCAAGAAAAGTCCATTTCAAACTAGGAAAATAATAGTATGCAAGGACATATAATAAAATGTCACCTGTAGTTTCACAAGCCCAGATCGTAGTTCAGATGCATATCCAAGCTTTTTAGCAAAGGCATCAGCCTGCATAGGATGTTACACATAAACAAAGTCAAAAGGAGACAGACAACACAAAACATAGGAGATCAAGACTATGCTCGGTCTCAGTTGGAGTCAAAAAGGGTAGGTGGAAATAGCAATTTTTCAGATAGAATAATTTCTAAACAGCATATATTTTCCACTAATGCATATGCACCACAACAAAAAGGGAGAAGAAAGAAAACCAAAAAGGAAAGTAACCTGAAATTCAAATGATCGGCTGACAAGGTTCAGACCAAAGCTGACCAATTGCTGAAGTGGGATTACAGTATGCTGCAAACAAACCCAGGTCAAAGGATGTTAAGTGCTTTGAGAATAAAATCTTTCATGAGGCTATACAAAGAATAATCCCATCTCTTTGTATTTTCTTATTTATAAATGCATAACCTTATATGATTTACACATTAGAAATTCAGCCTATGTCTCTCTTTTATTTTAAAGACATGAAGACACAAACTTAGGACTTCCGCAAACTATCTTAACAACACCCCCAGTGGCTTCATTGCACTAGTGTTTTAAGGATACCCAATAGCTGTAATGTAAATAATTCAAACAGGCCTCTTATTTTTTACCAGTAGAAGGGGATGTCTGAGAAGGCAAAGCTAGATGAGTTTAAGTAACTAAACATGGTTCGCAAAGCACAATCTTGGATACCTCCCATGCTAGCATAACCTCTGGCTATGTAGATTTGCATCATAAAACAGATTATGCTCCTTACATGGATTTTGAGATGATTGAATGGCCAATGCAATGGTAAAAAACTCTAAATTAAAATAATTGAACATTCAATACAGGTAACACCCACAGTAGGGATTGACCAGGATTTCGGGGCATGGCCTAAAATTATACAAGTCATGAAAAAAATATATTTTAAACAAAATTGTGATTCATTTTCCATCGTTTGATCTTCAAATTTAAAGGCTTTCTTGACAGCATCCGAAGCAAATAAACTAATAATCAATTTCAGTTCTCCTTGATACAAAGAAAAGCACAACTTTTATATTACCATGAGATGGTGGTAAGCAAGCCCAAGATCAAACATAATTGTTATATTTAGGCCACCCACCACATTGTGACTGGATTCCTAATTGCTATAGAAGGATGGCTAACGAACAGAAGGCATCATCTCAAATACATATTCGATTTAGCATTAACAATTTTGAATCTTTAAACATTTTGTATATACTGTTAATTGAATATGTACCACACAGGTTATCTTAAAAGAAACAAATATTATCCGGTCATTGGCGCAAACTATAGATTGCAAGTATGCTGCAGAAAAATGTACATCCAATCATCAAGCAAACAATATTGGGAGGAAAGACAACAATTTTGAAATGTACCTGGAATAAGATAAGCCCAATGAGGACTGGCTCTGTATCGAACCCAAAACTTCGAAACAGATCAGTTGAATTTCGCACCAGAGTATATCCTCCAAATTGCAGAAGTGTAAGAATCTACAAGAACATATCAAAGCACTAAACATAAACTCGGACAAATATTGCAACACCTTTTCCACTAAATATTTAATTCTATTTGACATGGTGAAAAACACATGCAAGCAAAGCATTTGATAGAGACAGAACACAAAAATACTAATTTACACTTCCATTCCTTCTATTTTAAAAAATAATATCCCCTCCCACGAGAGATTAATGCATTAAATTTCAATGCAATCTAATGTGAATGAGCCTATCACGACATTTTTTCTCTTTATGCAGAAAGAAAAATATCCCCAACAGGCCCATTTTCTTTAAACTGAACCAAACTGGATCATATTTCATCTCAAACTGGAAGGAAGTGTAATTGAAGTCTTTAAGATATGAGAGAGCTTAATCTAAGAACTCTTTGGGAAGGAAAGTGCACTTTACCCTTCAATAAATTTTAATTTTAAGATAATCTAATCAAATCATGCCTTTGACTTTCTAAAGGTATTCTACAAAAGAGGAGGATTTAATTGAATTTACAAGTTTACTGCAGAATATTTCATTGCCAAATACATTATTTCTAATTACAACACCAAATGCAACGGCAAGTTATAAGTGATGTTGTGATTGATGGTTTCACAAAGAAAACCACGCAAGTATTCCATCATCATATGTAATTAAAACAGAGGCATGCTCTAAAGGTGAGCGAAAAGGAGATCCTTTATCACCTCTCCTGTTTTTCCTTGCAGAAGAGGCATTAGGAAGAAATATTACTAACCTGGCACAAGAAGGAAATCTGCTAAAAAATTTATGGGATCAAAATCTTACTATAATGATTTTCTGTAGATGCACTATGAGGAATCTATCTAACATAATGCATGTGCTTGAACAATATAGTAAGGCAGTGGGCTAATAGTGCCAAGTCTAAATTCTATTTCAGTAGCAATTTTCAAGACAGAGAATTAATAGAATCAAAGATCGGATAGGGATTCAACAAGGTTCTTAGCCTTTTGTCTATCTTGGTGTATCTATGTTCAAAGGGAAACCTAAGAAGGTTCATTTGATGCCTATGATTGAAAGAGTTAAAGCTAAAGTTGCGAAATGGAAAGGCTCATTGCTGTCATACATGGGGAGAGTCCTTCTTTTTAAATCAGTTGTTCATAGTATGCTTTTCTGTAGTTTTGGTTAGGAATTTTATTTGGGCTAGTTATATTTAAAAGGTCAAGGTAGCCACAGTTGCTTGGGAAGTTGTGCTCTGAATATCATGAAGGTGGTTTGGGGCTGAGATCTGTTAGGGCTGTAAATGAAATATACATGGTTATGTTCGGATTTTATCACAACACGAAATGGATTGATCACATATGCTTGCTGCTAGAGGCTTTTGAAAAATGGTTCTATTGTTAAAACTATCCCATCTTCTATATGGGTTAGTATTAAGCATATATATACTTGGTAAAGATCACACTGCTTGGAAACTTGTACATGGACAAAATATCAAATTCTGGACTGATACTTGGCTTATTTAATTCTTCGAACATTGATAGGAGCATACATAATAGGCTTAATTCAAAGGTTTTTTATTTTATTTTTGAAAAGGAACAGAGAGTTCGTGATATTTTGCCACATGATATTGTACAACAAATTAAGCAGATTGTGATTTCCATAGCTAATTCCCAGGATATTTAAGTGGTTATTTAGCCATTAAAGATGCTTTCTTTTAACATAGTCATAATTCTAAACCACAGGTTTCTTGGGGGAAAATAATCTATGGAGATTGTTATTGCCTACGAATGAGCTACTTAGGAAATGTAGGGTAAATGTGATGTCTTTTTGTCCTTCTTGTTATAATGATTTTGAAACTGCAAAACATCCCTTTTTAGCTTGTCCCTCTGCAGTTACCTTATGGACTTGGCTTCAAAGCATCACAGATCAGCACCTGGACACTTCAACAATTAAGACACACATACATTCCAATAGGAATTGGAGTAATTTGGTGGCAACAGAGATGCTATCTGCTGTTACTCATATAGTAGCAGGAATTTGGAATAGCAGAAACAAGATTGAATTTGAGGGGCTTCAAATACAGTATCAACATATTAATATAGAATTTTCACGGCTGTAAATCTTTCTGGACCAGTAGCAGGTGATATGAACTCTAACATTGTTGAGCTTAAAATTCTTAACGCTTTTGATATTACTTGCAGATCAAGAAAAGAAGATAATATTATTCAACTGGATTGATCTCCTCTAGATGAAAGGTAAATCAAATGTAATACAGATAGAGCTTACACTAGTTATGATGACCATGCAGCATGTGGGGGAATTTTTAGGAATTCAAGAGCTGAGAACATTGGTTGTTTTGTGAAATTTATACAAGCAAATTCAGCTTTTGAAGCTGAACTCCCGGGTGTTATCTAGGCTATTCAGCTTTGTCTGATACTTCTTCAGTTCCTCGGAAATTAAGGAATAGATGAAATAATGTTATAAAGTTTATTAAGGGTATACACTTTAGATTTTCACACATTTATAAGGAGAGAAATAGGTGTGCAGATAGTTTAGGTGCTTATGGTCTTAGAACTTTAATTTTTAGTTGGTGGGACGGAGTGCCTCCTTGTATTATCTCTGATTTTTGTAGAGATAGATGTGGTTTCCCACATTACAGATTTTCTTAGTGGGTTTTAGCCTGCTCCCCCCCTCACTTTTGTATTTCTTTTATCTTTTAATTGTATTAAAAATGCTGCATATAATTGGTACAGGTTGTAGTGCTAACCTGGTTAGAATTACAACCTCTATAGTGATGCAATAGCATTCTTTTTTATTAAAAAGAAAAGAAAAAACAGAGGCAAACTAGAATTCACTTTCAGTTCAGTAATGCTAATTACACAAACCTGCATTGCAACAAACGTGTACACAGTATGGTTGAGCTTCCAGTGTCCCAACTCATGGGCAATAACAGCAACAATTTCCTCATCATTTTTGCACTGTGTAACACCATTTTGATAATGTAAGGATCAGTCAACCACAATTCTTAAATAGAGAACTTAATATGGACACTCACTATAAACTACTCAAATATACCAATGCCACTAAAAGTTGAAAGTAAAATCAGAAGATTGCAAAGGAGCGGTCATTTATGCAGAAAATGCCAACAAAAGTTTATCATCAAATTCTCATGTGAGCCTGTAATACAGAGACAATCACATAATGTTGGAATCACAACCACTACCTTGAAAACACCACATCAATATTAAAAAAATTCCCCTTTGTTATACTCAGATTGCTACATAGTACATACACTCCAACAGTTTAAACTTTAAACTGAAGCAGTACATATAATCATGGTAGTTGAATCATGAATCGTATGTGTATCGGAGAGCTTATGTTTCGTATCGTGAATTGTGTGATTCATAAACATTTTAAAAAATATAACATACAAGACATACAAACACGTAAATATGTAATTAATAATAACAATTACATTAAAATACAAAAGCTCTTCTAAAAGGCTGCAATACAACTCGAGCTATAAAACAACCTGAAAGATAAAATAACTTTCTGCAGTTAGTAATTCCTAACCTGTTGAATTAATGTGTCATAAAGCACAATCCTTTTGTTCTTGAAGAATCCATACATATAGGCCTGCAATATATATTTAGATAAATTACGTCAAGAAAACTTACAAACTAAAGATAGAAAACTGTGAAAGATTATATTCTATACTTTCGTTTTTTATGTCGTAAGAAATTAAAGAAAGGTTAAGCAAATTAGAAAGTGTGATCACATATCCAACTCAAAATATTATAAGATACAAAAATAAATGGTATCCCCTATAAGCCATCATCATGAGGTTTTAAGCAACTCTATTGAAAATCACAAGAAGCCAAGGAAACCACTCTACAATAGACTGACATCAAATACAATCCTATAACTCCATCAACAGAGGTATGACAAAATTTGAGCATTCAATATTGAAAAAGATCCTGAGTCCATAAGTAAGGTTCAAAAAGGCCAATCATATGGAAGCCATTATTCAGGACCCTTTTCAGTATATGGCAACAGAAAAAAGTTTATCGTAATAGTTTATTGTGTATTAAAAATGTGACTGTGAGCGCATGTTACGGCTACATTATAATCATCCCAAGGGATTAATAAAAAGATGAAGACAACTACACAACAAACAAACAACATAAGAAAATTTAAAAGGGCTGGCAGTTGATAAAAAAAGTCAGGATGATTGACAAACTACAAAAAATTTGAATCCTCTGCATGCATGAAGACAATAAGAAATAAGACTTACTGGACCTCAAAAGGCAGGTGTAATGGAAAATATAAATTAACGTTAATCAATATATTTGAGATTTGAGTAAATATGCATCATTACAAGGGTAATCGTATTGGTTTTAATTTTACAGGAGTTCAATATTTCCTTACATTGCTGTGACTTGATCTTGTGGACCCATCAACAACAAACAGTTTCCTTAACGGAAAGTTGAGGGTGGAAGCAAGTTTCTCGATTTTCTCCCTGAGTTGACCATCTGGAAGCTAGTTACAAGAATATCATGAGCACAAAAATAAAGATATAAAGTGTGATTAGAAAAATACAGAAAAGATTTGCACGAACTACAATTCCAACCAACCCAACTCCATTAATGTGTTAATTATGTTTACAGCTTTAACCTAGCAGTTATACAAAAGATTACTGTGCCCTTCCTCTAGCTTGCTTCTCCCAAGGTCAAGCAGACTGTTTCTTATCAAAGCCACGCTCTAAATCACCCCATCCCCTCACCACCACTAGCATCCACATCCATCAACTTAACCTCTCCCAAAACTTCACGTCATCCCCCCAATCCAGAGTCTATGTGTAATTAGCACTAACCTTTGAAGACTTCAATATAACTATGCCAAAATTAAAATAAAAAAACATGGTACACATATACTTTTTCTAAAATATAGTAAGATGACAAAATCTTACAGGAGTGAACTTATTGAAGAGTGGAGCTATCAGTACTGGATAAAGAGTCATCATCACAATAGAAAGCCCAAATGTAAACGCCCAAAGATAGATGGCTAAGTATGGACCTCCTTTCTGCAAAAATTAAAATGAATGTTCAAATAGAAAACAATGAGTTCATCATCCATCACGGCAAACAAAATGACAGGAAGAGCATAAAACATAATTTAGTAAATACCACACCCAAAAATATCTCGAAATTAGGAACTAGAAAATTCAAAATATCAAGCTTAAGTTTTCAAGCAATGATTTTGAATAGCAGAAGATTTTACCTGTATTATTACAATGATTGCAGACACAATAGGTGGACCAATTATTACAGCAAGGAAAATTCCTTTAATCATGTCCCTAAAGAATAACCACGGTGTTTGCTGCATAAAGATCATAAAAATGTAAGGATAGAAGCATAAATAAATTTTGCAAAAGAAACTTGCATACTCAAGTGTGAAAAATCTCAATAAAATAATACATAGATGATTGAAATTGAAGAAAGAATATGAACCTTATTAAAACCATGACTTGCCTCAATCACAAAAGTTGAGTACAGAGAAAAGGGCAAATCGGTTATCTGCAGAAAACGTAAAAGTGCATAATAGATTTTATTAAAATGTAGATGAAAAGATTGATAATAATTCAAATGTACACACATCGGAAGCATAAAAAAGCTAGCATCCATGATCTACCAAAACTAAAAAAGGAATAAAAAAGAAAACCTTATTCCAAAAAATAATGTTTCAGCACATAATATCAAAAAGAGAGAAAAACAAAAAACTAAATATCCAAGTTTATCTTGGTGAAGTTGAAATATGGAGTAAAACTGATGGTCTCAATTATGCACAATAAACCCAAAAATTACTTTATTCCCTAGCAGTAAAAAAGCGTCAAAAGCATACCTGTGACCAAATCATCAAACCAGCTAAAAAGGCAAGAGTATGCAGTATTTCATTCTCTGCATTGAGACCAACTGTTGTCACATATTCTCCTGATTTCTGCAAGCAATAGACATAAACTTTACAATGGCAGAGAGGAAGCTATACTTCATAAGCACCATAACAAATTCTCACCTTCCAAAACCAGGGCAATACCCCAAAGTACAAAATTGTAGAGTCTGTCACTATTGTCACAAACTCGTGAATAAAATGAAAGTGGCTGGACAAAGTAAATATAAAAATCATCTGTAAGAATGTTAATAGTACACAATTACAAAAAAGAATACCAGAGATACCCTTGTGCGAGTGTAAGATCTCATTATCTAATGAAAGAAATTCACACGAACAAAAGAACAAACCTTTTATCAAGACTATAGGCTCTTGATTTTTCAAATTTCTCTTGGCTGATAACCCCTTCTAAAGTCTTTGGAAGAGTTGGAAGTTTGAGGGCCTTATGTTGCCGCACATCCAAGTAAGTTTCAAATATATACATTAATATCATAAATCCTGAAAATAGATCAGAAGAAAACCAGGAACATTTACATCTTTATTTTCAATTTTTCAAGGTTAAGCAGTGGATTACAGCCAAAACAGTACATGAAAACAGTATAGGATAGTCAAAACTGGACCAAATCAAATGCTAGAAAAAAGCCAAATTCATGGAGAATGGTGGTGTAAATGAAGGGACTGGACAATTGGTTGTAGGGTCCAGTGAAGCTAGTGAGTAATACGATGCATCAAGATTTAGGTGTCAGATTTGAGCAGCTACTCCTTGTAATATTCATTTTACTAGTTTCGCTTTTACCCAAGTATAATCCTACAGTTTCGTATATATAGATCGATCCACATTATGTTTCGTGTCTGCTTCTTCTCCCTGATTATATTTGTTCACTCGGTTAGAACAAACAAAATGTTTTCACACGAAAGGAGTTGTGTAGCGTCATAAAGCACTGCCAAACATGTTCCATTACATCCACCCAATTTGACATATTTATGGAGTTGTTCACACTACCAAACACCCGATTTCATTAAGGCAAGTCAGCTATGTTTTAATAAACATCCCAGCGAAGAATCAATGCAAGATCAAACAACTAGCCAACCTAGCTTTAATGCCCCCAAAAACATACTATATAGGCATAAAATAATCATACTTTCTAATCCTAAAGTTTGTTTGAAGCTATCTACACCACCTAAAACCAAATAATTGCTAATCAGTGAAGTCTCGGGTGTGCAAGTCCATCAGGGCTTTCCATAACACATCCTTGACCACCCAACATCCTTTAAAACCCTACTTTGTCCTTTGTTTCTTCATCTCAAGTTATAATTAACTAAATAGAAAAGGAAGCACAATGTCTATCGACATTATTCTTATCTCCCCAACACTGGTTAATGGTCAAAGACCCAAGGGTTTTCCGATTTCAAAGAAAACTACATACAGAAAATAACAAAAACACATAGAAAAGGAAAATGCTAGTACAAGTAAAAGAGGGGACTGGGACTCAAAATCCTCAAGTGAATAATCACAGCACGTTCAATTAACGCATTATCTCAATCCAGTAAAAGGGTCAAAATGCACAATTTACTCAAAAAATGGCAAATTCATGAGAAACCCAAATCAAATTACCATGGAAAAGAAAGAAACTTTATTTACAACAAAACCAGTAGCTGAAAGAAATAGTTTTTGAGTGTGGAAAATAAGAGAGGGGGGGAGGGGGAGAGGTGGGGAAGGGGGGAAATGCAGAAGGGGGCAACAGAAAGAGAAGAAAGAGCTCACCGACAACGGCTTCCATATAGGGAAACGCCATGGCTAACACAAAAGCTGATGAACACAACAACAAATGAAGAACGATGTATCAGAAGAAGAGAGAGATCATTGGGTTTTATAGAGAGTTGCTTCGAACATCGGATTTGGGATCAAAAACCCCTTAGGTCCAAATGTTTGGGACACGTCTAAAAAATTTGGGTGTTATGTTATTCACTTAATTATGTTTTTAGCGTATAAAGTTAAGAATAATTTTTTTTTTTGTAATTAATACGTTAGTGTGTTTATTAAAAGAAAATAGACATTGAGAAAAATAATTATTATTATTTTTAGGTTTGTAATTAAATTTTGAATACAATCAACTTTAAAAATAAATTATAGGTTTAAAAAGATATGTTTATAAAAATATAAATAATAAATTTTGTAAAAATATAAAAGATAAAACATGTATAAAAATATAGTAGACCATCTAAAAGTATAAAAGATATGGAAAAATATATAGGGTTGACTCGTTAAAAATATAAATTAATATATTTATAAATGGATGTAATGTGAATTATTAAACTAACCTAATCAATGTATTGATAAACTCATTCAATATATGTTGTTAGACTCATCTAATAAGTATATAGACACATTCGTCTAATGTGCATGGTTAAACATGTTTAATTAGTATATAAACAAACTTGTATAATGTATATTGCAAGACTCGCCTAATTATATAATGGGTAGAGTCGTCTAATGTGTATTAATATATTCATCTATTATGTGTATGAACATATTAATACTCATGTTACGTATAGTGTTATATTGGAGTAATTAGTGTATGAACAAACTCATCTAATGTGTGTTACAAGACTTATCGTCAATGTATGTACATACTCATCTAATGTATATTCTTAGACTCGTTTAATTAATGTAGAATGACTTATTTGATATTTTTTGCTATACTTATCTAATTAGTAATGAACATATTCATCTAATGTATGTTGTTAGACCTTTGTAATGTTTTTTGCTATAGTCATCTAATCAATATATGAATAGACTCATCTCATATGTATTAATAAATGAACAATTTTATCTAATGTGTATTAATAGATTTGTCTAATTTATGTGTTGATATACGAATGACTCCTCTAATATGCATTTTCAAACTCATTTAATCAATGTATTCTCATATTTGTCTAATAATTTTTGTTATACTTGTTTAATTATTGCATGGATAATCTTGTGTAATTTTTTTGCTATATTATTTTAATCAGTATATGGAAAAACTCGTTTGATGTGTATTGCTAAATTTGTCTAATCAATACATCAATAAACTCACCTAATATGTATTGTTAGACTTATTTAATTATACAAACGTACTCATATAGTCTTTATTGTCATACTCGACTAATAAATGTAAGACTTGTCAATGTGTATTGCAAGACTTGTCAAACTCATTTAATGTGTATTAATATATTCGTATAATTTGTGTACGAAGAAACTAACTTGTATTATCAATGTATGGACAAACTCGTTTAATATTTGTTGCTAGACTTGTTTAATTAGTGTATGAATAAACTTGTCTAATGGTATTCCAAGGTCATTCTAATCGATGTATGGAATAATTCATCTAATATTTTTTGCTATACTTTTCTAGTAATTATATAGATAAATTCATCTAATGTGTATGGTTAAACTTGTCTAATCAGTGCATCAATGAACTTGTTTAACATTTTTTATACTCATTTAAATAGTGTATGCTTAGAGTCGTCTAATCAATGTATCAAATCTTCATCTAATATTTTTTGTTGCACTCATCTAATTAATGCATTAACAAACTCTTTTATTGTATGTGGCTAGACTTCTCTTATGATTTTTATTATATTCGTCTAATTACAAACTCGTTTAATGTATATATTGTTAGACTCATCATGTTTTTTTTCTATATTTGACTAATATGTTGCTAGACTCGTTTAATCAATATATATATCTATATATATATATATATATATTCAAGTAATAACAATATATTTTAAAATAATTAGTTTGTTAGATTTTATTTTTTAATTTAATCTTATTAAAGTTGAAAACTCTACATTTTCAACTTAAAAATAGTTAAAAGTGAATTCAAAGAATATAAAACAAAATTTATAATATTAAGAAAATATGATTTTGTTATTTCAAATATATAGTTCAAACATTTAAAATGAACTTCATATTTTGATTTATTCTATTACAAATATAATTATTTAAAACCTTATATCAATTTTATGCATACCAAAAATATGTAAAATATTTAATAATAAAAATATTTATATTATAAATTAAGATAAAAAAGATAAATATAAGTTTTTAAGACAAAATTATTACATTATAATTTATTTTATATTATAGTATAAACTTATTATTAATAAAGGTAGAGCTGTCAAAACGGGCCACTCGGCCCGATCCGACCCGGCCCACCACGGGTTGGTCACTTAGTGAGCCAATCCAACCCGGCTCATTATTAGCGAGCCTGAAAAATTCGAACCCGGCTCGACCCACCACGGGTTGGTGGGTAAACGGGTTGGTTCACTGGCTTACTTAATTACAATTTTTTTTAAATAAAAAAAATTACAAACTTTCTATAATACAAATCTAAACAAATTTCACTCCCAACATGAGTGTTTAATTAATTTTGAAAATAAGGAACTTAAATAACTTTTTCAAGCAAAAAAAAAATAATAAATATTTTTTATAAAATTAAAATTAAATTTTAATAAAATAAAATTATGTAGGTGGGTTGGTGGGCAACCCGGCCCACCACGGGTTCAACCCACATGAGCCGGGTTTAAACGAGCCGGGTTCAAATCTAACCCGCATAAAAAAAATACAATTTTTTCTAACCCAACCCGACTCAAACCCGTGGTGGGGTCGGGTTGGCTCGCGGGTTGTGACCCATTTTGACAGCTCTAAATAAAGGGTTAAAAATGTTTTTCGTCCCTTAAGTATCACACGATTTTGGGTTTAGTCCCTACTCGAAACTTTGATGGTTTTTAGTCTTCATAGTTTTAAAATTTTTATTATTAGTCCTTAAAATTGGACGGCGTTAACTTTTAGTAAATGTGGCAAACGGCGAGCCACGTCTTATGTCAGCTTGCCTCTTCACTCTCTGCCACGTTGCTTGTGATTGAGAACTTCGTTCGTCATCTCTGGCAGAGCCTAGCCTCCATCGGACCAGCCGTTGTGCCGGACCTTCCGCTCAGTCCAAGGCGTCGTTGGCGACACCAATCGTCACCGGGACCGTTGTCGGTTGCGGCGTCGATTTCTCTCTCCTTGCCTTTTTTCCGCGCAAGAGAGAAGCTCTCTCGTTCCTCCGCCAATCACCTTGGAACCACTGCCTTTAGACGAAAACTCAGATTTCAAAGTATTACTCTGCTCCTGATATGTAAGTGTAATAGCAGTTCTAGATTCGGAGGACATTGTTCCTGATCCAGAATCTTGTTCCAATTGAAGGCGTTGCTGCTTTTGAGCATCAGCACTGAGAGACATTAAGGAAACCAAAAAACCAAGATGACACGAGAGAAAGTCGATTAAAAATAGAATATTAACCCCCTGGCTACCCACCCATAATAAAAACAAGAAGGGAAGAAAGGGAATAAAAATAAATGGACGTAGGAGCAAATGGATACATTTGAGCAAACTTTGTCATTTCTCTGTCTTGACGCTGTTGTTCTCGCTTTTGCCTATCATCTCGACTACCACCACCATGCATTTCCTTCATTTGTTTGAATCGTTGTAGTTAACAACAAGTTTTTTTCTCTGGATATTTTCTTCTGTAGTAAAGAAATCATCTTCTTCTTGCTTACCAACTCCAAGTCTTGGATCTCTAATCCCATATTTAATTGGTTCAGTGATTTCTGCACACATGCCAGGCCAACTTGAAAAATAAGATAAAGCCTTGAAAATAAAGGACAACACTAAAATTAAATCACTTTCAGCTTAAGCATCCCCTCAATCAGGAACATTGCATTATAAAATCAATACTTAAAAAAAATGAACTCATTGCCAAAATCCTTGTTTGAGTCAGAAGCAAGTGTGTTCAATAAATGAAGCAATTTAGCCCGAACCAGAGAAAACCACAACTTTTCACCCATACGGAAAAATAAAAAGCTTGTGCAAATAGCACTTTGCATAGCATGAATAAGGGTGCTGAAGGTATTATTAGCAAAGATCTAATTGTATACAAACAAAAAATCAATTTAAATGCTGGAGTAAAATAAAAAAAATTACAACAATCCTTTCTATGCTTAGAACAAATTAGCACTAGGTGTTAATTGATTGAATGACTGAATTAAGCAGCAGTAAAGACCAAAAATCAGAGTTTTGCTTTCATTCCAACCACTCCAGAGGAATAGAGAAGAAAGGGCGAAAAAACTCAATACAAATGCTCATCACAGTGACTTGATTGTCGAGGACGGCGTCGGCGGTGACCATCTTGGTTTGTGGCTCGCGGAGGCTGGGCTCTCTCAAGCGACGATTGGCGAAGGAACGAGAGAGCTTCTCTCCCGCCCGGAGAAAAGGCAAGGAGGGAGAAATCGATGTCGCGGCCGACAACGGTCCCGGTGACGACTAGGGATGGCAAAAAAATCCGCGCCCGCGGATATCTGCGGATAAAATCCGCGACAGATAGTTGGTACCCGCGGATATTTACTATCCGCGGGTTGCGGGTAGCGGGTTTTTTAATACCCGCTTATAAACGGGTCGGGTGCGGGTATTATACTATCCGTATCCACGGATATCCGCTACCCGCAAAAAATAAAAATAAAAATTTAATTTATATTTTATTAAGTTAAATTTAATTAAAATTAACATTAATTTATATTTTATAAAGTTAAATATAATTAAAATTAAATTTTAATTTATATTTAATTTAATATATATTATATTTTATATATTTTTTGTAATTTTATTTAAATTTTATTATAATATTTTATAAAAATATATTTTTTTAAATATTTATGGGATATCCACGGGTATCCACGGATATCCGCGGGTTTTAAAATATCCGCGGATATTTTTTAAGCGGATATCCGTGCGGGTAGCGGGTCGGGTAGCGGGTGGATTTTTTTTT